TCGCGGTGAAGACTTATCCTCCAAACTTATTGTGCGATTTAGGCAAAATCCATCACATCCAGTTTCCTGCGCTGCGAATTAAAAAAAAATTTGCGACAACAGAGGATTACGATAATCCATTAAAAACACCGCCTTAAATTTGTGCTTCATGGGAAACAACAAGCCGGAAACACTAATAGCTTGTAACAATGTAGAAATAATAAGTAGTAAAATAAGTCTCCGCTAGGAGAGGTGCAGCACTACCGGAAACATGAAGTTACAGCTCTGTATCCTTTACAAATGCCGCCTTTAATCAACAGTTATCGAAGACTACACCTCTCATAGTCAAAAAACAAAACAAAAATAGTCCCCAGTCAAGTTCGGATCAAATCTTTCAGCTGTTGGAATTAAATTATTGCCCTTAAGCAAGGGCTGGTAGTGTTAAATAATGCAGACCCCAAGTCCTGAGTCTCAAAATTACACCACAAACTCAGAGTGAATGAGCTTTATTGACAAAAGCACAGTTGTTTTTCATTGATTTTACCAAATTTGAGGTAGCGACTGAAAGAGAATGGAAGGGGGAGGCAGGGGAACCATTCAGACGATGCCACAGCCGGAAGAGGACAATCATCGTCGTGACTGATTGGCGGTTCCACGACACCAGCCCTGTTGGCGTGCAGGTCCTCGATGCCCCACACTGTGGTTGGTGCCCAGCTCAAAAGCTGGAGGCGCCTCGTTGATGAAATAGTCAACAATAGTCTGAAGAATACGACCCTCCATGTTTGAGGCGTCCCAGTTGGTTGGACCCGGATGGCGCACCTTCTCGTCGAGCAACCTCTCCAAACAACGTTTCAAATTCTGATGAGGAAGGGGACAGGAACAAATACTTATGCCTTCATTGGCCACATAGATGAGGAAGCTACTTTACTGAATGCTAACCCCCATGAACAAACAAACCTGTTCTTCTGCATATTGCATGTCTAACCACAGATCGTAAACTAATCCGTAATTTTGACATCTACTACTTACAGTGAGCGGGGTGGATGCAAAAGAAATAAGGGGTAAAATGAATTATGAAAAAACAAGATTTAACGGAATGGGAGGATAAACTGTGTTAATATTTTAGCTGATAAAAATAATTTCAGGAGCGATACAATTTTGTAGGCGGCAACATT